TTTTTAATAAACCAAAATACAGTTTCAAAGCAAATTAATTCAAATTCAAAACTTTAAATTCAGTTTTAATTTAGTGAAATTTATTTTCAAACCAATGCATTCGGTTTGAAATTCTGCACATTCAGATTCAATCTGAGCAATTCAAATTCATTTCCTGTTGGCACAACATTGATCCCATACCGGACCCCTGTCCTGGCACGTGTACCTGATCCAGCGTGGTCTGAGTGACGGAGTAGTCCTCGATCCTGAGCGTGTCCTTGTTCTTGCCGAGGATGGAGAAGATGTGGGCGAGRGAGGTGAGCGAGGACGGCAGCTGGTACTGCAGCATGTTGCGGTGCTTCTCCTTCAGCGTGCTGCCGCTCAGCTCGCTCTCGATGAACTTCATGACGGGCTGCAGGTCCGGGTCGGGTCCCGCCACCCGCAGGATGATGGTGTACCCGTCTCCAAACCTGGTGCAGAGGAAACARGAGCGTGAGGCCCAGAGGAGCCACTGACCACCGCTCAGGCAGGAGGTCGCCCTCTGGTGGTCAGACAGTTAAACTGAGAGAGTTTTATTTTGAAATATTGCTCTGTTTCTGAGACGTTTTACTTTGAAAACCTGTTACCTGTTCTTCAGGTGTTGGACGCTGCCGAGACATCTGAACCTGCCGTTCACCATGATGGCCATCCTGGTGCACAGAGCCTCACACTCCTCCATGCTGCAACACACACACACACACACACACACACACACACACACACACACACACACACTGTTAACACAGACACACTGAGGACAGAGACACAGTGAGGACAGGGACACAGAGAGTGTCTCACCTGTGGGACGTGAGGACAACGGAGCGTCCCTCCTTGATGATGCTGTGGATGCAGTTCCAGAGGGCTCGGCGGGCCTTGGGGTCCATCCCGGTGGTGGGCTCGTCCTGAAACAAGGACATAAAGTTCCTGAGTCATGAAGCTGCTCAAAGAGATGAGGAAGAGGAGGAGGAGGAGGAGGAGGAGGAGGAAGGCGAGGAAGAGGAGGCGTCCTACCAGGAAGACGACTGGTGGCGCTCCGATCAGAGCGATGGCAGTGGACAACTTCCTCAGGTTGCCCCCGCTGTAACTTCCTGCTCGTTTGTCTGCGTACTTCAGCAAACTCAACTTCCTGATGCCCCACTCTGCCACCTGTCAATCAAACAGCAGCCAATCACAGCTCGGCAGCACGACCGCACCCACCGCCGCGCGCGTCACCTCGTGTGCTTGTCACTCACGTCGCAGACGTCCTGCTCAGGGACACCTCTGAGGACGGCGTACAGCTCCAGGTGCTCTCTTCCTGTCAGCAGGTCGTTGATGGCGTCGAACTGAGGACAGTAGCCCATGTTCTGGTGGACCTCGTCGATCTCCCTGAGGATGCTGCCGAGACACAAAGACGGGACTTTTACCCAGGACAGGGTTCACATGGACAAACGGATCTCAGACCAGGTTCTGGACTTACCTCTTCCCGGCTAAGAAGGCCTCCCCGCTGGTCACGATGGTGTCTCCYGTCAGCATCTTGAAGGTGGTCGTTTTCCCGGCTCCGTTCACGCCGAGCAGCCCAAAACACTGAGAGGAAACAAACCATGTTTACCTGCACCGGGTCCGGACCGGGACCACACCTGTACAGTCCTTACCTCTCCGGGTGGGATCCCGACACACAGTCGATCCACCGCCGGCTTCTGCTTCCTCTTAAACACCTGCAGGACACAAGACACGCTCCGTCAGATCGGTTCAMCRTCCCGCTCCCGCCACCTGTACAAAACCCCCATTCCAGGTGTAAGCCCCGCCCACCTTGGTGAGCTGCCGGAGCTCCAGGATGTCCCCCTGGCCAAGGCCCTGGACTATCCGGTGTCTCTCTCGGGCCACYTCTTCATCTTCCTCTCCCAGTGCTCCCAGTTTGGTGAGTTTACTTACCGGCCTACACACAAACACACAAACACACACACAGGGTTAGACTGAGCTGTGATTGGTCCAACGGTATGGGATAAATCTTGTGCCAGCAGGAACTGAATTTGAATTGCTCANATGTTTCAGCTGTTATTTGTGCAGAAAAGTTTTGTGTGTGTGTGTGTGTGTGTGTGAAGCAGTCGGGTGGAGGCGATCGATTCAAGTCGATTTATTTTGCTCGTTTAGCCGTAACAGCTGTTCTTCCATCAGCAGCACAACAACAAACATGTTGATCAGAAATACAAACAGATTCGAATCAGTGCAAGCACAAACAGAAGTCTCGAACACTTAAAGTGCTGCAGTCAGACACACAGGATGATCACAGAGATCAGATCAAACCGATCAGATCACAAATCGATCAGATCAAACATCGATCAGATCACAGATCGATCAGATCAAACATCGATCAGGTCAGAGATCGATCAGATCAAACATCGATCAGATCAAAGATCAATCAGATCACAGATCGATCAGATCACAGATCAATCCGATCAGAGATCAATCAGATCACAGATCAGAACAAAGATCGATCAGATCAAACATCGATCAGATCAAAGATCAGGTCAAAGATCAATCCGATCAGAGATCAGTCAGATCTCTAATCGATCAGATCAATCAGATCACAGATCAATCAGATGAAACATTGATCAGATCACAGATCAATGCTGTGTCGTTCTTCCAGGAGCTGATGAGGTATTTCAGATCAGATCTGGTCCTCTGTCATTAAAAAAACTATAAAATCAATATCTTTGTATCGAGCACTCTGATTGGCTGTTAACACTACAGGAAACAGTGTGGACACCGCCAAAATAAAAKAACAGATTACATGTTTCTGTTCCAGCTACAAAAATAAATAAAAGTCTGAGAATAAAAACGGAATCAAAGTTTGATAAAAACTGATTTTTTTTGTTGGTTTTTGCAGTCGAGCCCTCGGCCGTTTGAAATGATTCGGATTCTTCATGGTTGTTCAAGTTTTTAACACCGAGACGCTCGCCGCCTCCACAGCAGATCATTTGCATTGACTGGCATTGTGTGGCTGGTGGCTCCGCCTACCGTCGCGTTCAAATCAGTGCGACGTCGCAGCAGGCGAGGAGGAGGCATCCTCATTGCCGCGGGTCAAGTTCAGGCTGATGACTCCGCCTTCTAACGTCACGTGACGCGAGCCACGGTCACATGACYCTTTCCTGCTGCCCACCTCCTCTCYTGCTGGTTTCGTGGGRGGGGCTTAAAGCTGGAATGTTGATGGCGACGTCTTTCCGCCTCACCGATGCGTCTTTGGACACGTAGTCYTCGCTTTGGTCCTTCGCGAAGTTCACAAACACCTGAAAGAAGAAACGGAACCCGTCAGCATCTCTCATCAGACTCCTTCCTGCCCAGGTGAGTCCGGAATATGGGATAAATCTTGTGCCATTAGGAAGTGAATTTGAATAGCTCAGATTGAATCTGAATGTGCAGAAT